TCTGAAGTAATAATACTCACAGGCAAAATAATATTGTCATTACAGAATCATATGTCATAGTCTATGCTAGAGACTTAGGGGATAAAAATAAAGCTTTGTTATCCCAGGACGTCATAGGTAAGATTAATTCCAAATGAGCAAAAGTAAAATAAAACCCCAACTGCCTCTGATGTAACGCTATTACAAAGTAAGGACAATCAGTTTACTCTAAACACAAATTCAGAACCATGGGACCAGTTCAGAGTTAAGATGGTGTGTTAACTACAGATGAACTGAATTGTGAAATTCCTGGGTTAATAATATTAGTTTTGTAGATATTTACAGATACCAATATATGCTTTCATTTGTAAATCCTCCTGACACAGCCTCTCCGCGGAGTGAAGTGAGATCTTAGGACAAATGTAAAAATCTTATAAATATAACAGCCAAATAACGCAAATAAATGCTTCAGCACTTTCCCCCCCAGCAGCTGTACGTACACAGGTATCTGGTGTTGCAATGGTTCTTCATTCCAAGCCCTTCTTTTCCAGACGCTTAGCTTTTTGCACTTCCACATTTTTGGCTTGAGCCGATGAAGGGAGAATGGCTGCATATGCAGTGGGGTGGGGTGTGGGATATCCACATGCTAATGGAAAGGGGAGCCCCGAACAGCAGTAGCTTCCTCTGTTCTCTCTCCCCTGCCAGTATATCCACCTTGACTCTGAAACACAGTCTCTAAAGCCTCAGTAGCAGCTGAAGAATCCCTTTTCAGTACACTATGACAGAATTAATTCAACTTACTCTAGACAGAAACGCGATAAAAAATTATGTCCTGGACCATATCAGAGCTTATTTCTTTTTCTTTTTCTTTTTTTTTCAGATTTGCAAATGTGGTTCCCATTGCAACCGGGAGAGACTGGGCATTTTAGATGCTAAAATGCTTCAGTAACTTTCGAAAACCTGCCATCAAAACGGCTAGAGATAGAAAGTTGAAAATTGGTGTGTTATGACATTCACTTTAGCAGAGCTGCCCACGCTCTTACCACAGCAAAATGACTTTAATTCGCCCAACCCCAGCATCCTTGAAAATGACACTCTGAGCATTTGCTGTAATGATTTCTCACTAAATTAGAAAAATGCCCAACTAAGGAGGGATTATCTCTGCATGTGGATGTGGCATAATGACTGTCGAGTGCACTGAGAGCCCCTGTGGGCTATACAAGGGACACGGGGTCTGCAGCGGAAGCCAGCCTGTATCAGAGAATATTAATACTGTCTTTTGGAGGACATCCATTGAGATACTCTACTACTGTTCAAACAAAATTATGCCGTACTAGGGAATTCTCTTTGATACTTTACATATGTGAAGTGTCTTTTAAGGCTGAGGACTAGGTTGCGCCAGACAAACCCAGTTCATAAAAGACACAGGCACATGTATGAACATAGTCTCCAGAACATATGTGCTCACCAGGGCACTGTCACTGCAGATGCACCTTGTAGCCTGCAGAGAGGATGCACTCATGACCCTGTACCTGCAGAGCCAGCATGTCTCCTAGCTGCTCCTCAGCAGGAGCCCAGTAGCTCCAGGCCCCGTCCCACAGGCGTTTTGCAGGTTTCACAGAGAACAACGAGTAAGCTGGGTGCTACTGTCCTGTAATTCTTACCACAACAGAGAAAAAACTGCCTCCAGCCAGCCCCAAAACAAGAATGTGAGAAAAAGACTTTATACACATATGTGTCAGTGCTCGTGCCATGAAAGACCAGGACGATGGTGGGCAAGTGCTGGCTGACAAGGATATTGAGAGTTTCAACACAGGCACCACAATAGCGCATTAATAATGGCACTAAAATGCCCATCGCTGGTGTTCTTCACATCACATCACCAGCCAGCTGGCTTAAAATCACGCCACACAAAAGACACCAGCAGCAATTACATCCTTCGGGTGCTTGTTGACTTCACTGCCACCCCCCTGTTTAAGAGGATGCCAGACGCCTTGCTAGCGCCAGGTCGGGCTGTTTCCGTGTCTCTATTTTGCAATGACTTTTCAAAACAAGTCTACCAACTCAGACAGAAGGGGAAGCCAGGGTAGGAAAGGCTGCAGGGCCCTGCCAAGCCAACTAGCTGCTGGGTAGCCAGAGGGCTCTGTTCTGCTGAAACTGGGCCACCGGGGGAGGGTCCACAGGGAAAAACATGGGGCCAAGCACAGTGTGAGTCTGGCTTACTATAGCAAGTTCAGGATCTTGTCCCTAATCCCTGGAGAAATGTCATCCCTCACCCACTGAGTGGGTACAAACAGCTCTAGGAGAGGGAACGAGCATGCCCCTGGCCACCGAGCATCCTTGCCAGGGCATCCTTGCCACCTGGCTGCACAGCCATCCTGTCTCAGCCCAGGTATGAGGACAGCCAGCGAGAAGGGGGAAGCTGGAGGGCGAGGTGGGCAGGGAGGCAGTGGGAGAAGGCAGGACACTCAAGCATTTTGCCCACATGCCCCAAACTTGATACCACGGCCCTTGTTTAATCTCACCAAGCCCTCACCATCTTTTGGACATACCAGCAGGAGTGAACGCAAATGGGAATAGTTACGACAGGGCAGCGGTTCTGTGACCCTCTCCAGCAGCAGGTGGACAATGTCAGGACGCAGGTGTTGTCCCGCGCCTGTCCTGCACTGCCCCATGTCAGGGCCCAGCACCATCCCAATCTGTGTCTCCATGGTCCTCCAGCCCTCCCACTTTCCCAGGGTGGCTGGGGAGTCCTTAGCCCACCGTGGTCTTCAGGGCCGTGCGCCCTGCTTGCCTGTGGGATGGAGCCGCTGAAGTTCACGGGTGTCCCAGCTACCACGCATGAGCTGCTGGGAGCTCTGAGGAGCACGCTGCGACACGCATGTTTTATGAACAGGACTTGAGGCCATGCAGGCAGCAGCAATTTCACCAAGGGCAGAGCTCTGCCTTGAACAAATTTGTCCCTTCTCTACCCTCGTTGCCCGGGGACCCCAAACGCACAGCTCCCCACACTGAGCTCAGCCCATGTGCAAGGCTGCATGGACCCTTTCCATGGGGATTTTCAGGGAGGTACCGGGAGCTCCGAGCTCTCTGTTCCCAGCAGCTGGCTCTTCCCAGGGGCCTCGGGGGTTTCAGACCCGTTTTGGATGGAAAAGTCAGACCCGTTCTGGGGAGGGGCAGGGACAGATGGCGAGTCAAAGAGCAAAGCCATTCCCCAGGCTCCAGAGCTGAACCCCCCCGGGCCTGTGAGCCGGGGCTGCGGCCTCACCGCTGCAGCCCGGCCCGGGGC